TAGAGGAGTCGTTATAAAACGTTGTTTCCTCATTATGTTACTTTTTCGACTTGTCCCCTATTTGTCAATTTTTTGGGTTCATTGGTTAACTCGCTTTGTGATTTCACAGTTCCCTTAACGTAATGAGTCTTTATTTTTAGATCAAGTTGGTGGCATTTGGGAAGTCATTCAATCAAACTGTTTTGGTGTTATTGCGGCACAAGTCTTTCGACTCTCGAAGGTAGATGCCGGCGAATTCTTGGAGGTTTATAAGGGTGTTCTCGCCGAATACCCTGAATTAATCTCCGAGTTTACTTCGGGGCCATGCGTGGCTCTACAAGTCATCCAGGCTGACCCGGATCGTGATATGTCGTGTAATCCAGGCGATCCGTTATCTGTACAGCAGCGCTTTCGTGAACTTGCGGGACCCATGGACCCAGTTAGTTGAGCTATCATCACTTTTCTCATTTGTTGCAGCTCTAGTCAGTGATACTACCTGGACCTGTATACGAACTAGGTCTATTTCCCACGATTTTCTACAAGTTTGAATGTAGTACTCTCACATACGCCAATGGCCATTTCCCACATTATAGGCTTCCCCCCATTCTTTAATTGATTTTGACCAAAAAAACCAAACACTCTACTTCGTTTCCTCACAGGATATAGCTCGTTACCTGAGGCCAAATACCATTCGTGCTAAGTTCGGAGTTAATTCAGTCAAAAACGCAATCCATTGTACAGATTTACCGGAAGACGTTTCACTAGAGGTAATCCTTCGGAAACGTTTCTTTTCCTGGCTTTGTATTGGAGTACATATGCATGCTAATTAGATTCAGTGCAATATTTTAAGGTCTTGTTTTAAATTTTGTTTTCCAAGTGTCTAACATTCAGAAGCGCCATACTCTAGCTGCGCACCCGTCACCACTTTGTTCTAAAACTCTTACAAACGTATTTTATCTTCCAGGTTGATTTTTTCTTCCGCATACTTAGCAGTTGAAAACTGCCGTCCTCGATGCTTGTGAAAACAATGTGCACTTCTGTGCGCTTAAAATTAATAAATCGTTAGCAATTTCGCCACAAAATCGGCGTGACTTGTGTGCACTGTAATACCAAGTTGTAATGAATCTCATAAATTTGCTCGACAATCAATCACCACTTAAGTGTTCCCCAAACACAAAACAGCCTTGGAGACGAGTGGTTGATTTTTCCAATCTTGCCATATGGGCACTTACTCAGTACCATAGAAAGTGCAAAATTGAGCAAATCGGTAGTATTCGTCCGTTTAATAACAAATGAAAACAAATATGTACAAACGTGAACAAACTGTGGTTCACGTGACGTCACATTCATTTTTACGCCGTTGAGTCTTCCTTGGAAGTGTAGTGACGGTACTCCGGTTTTAGTTCCCACATGTTCTGGTGCGGAGGTCTGGAATTGAAAACCGCAATTTCTTTCAGTAATTCCGTGAGGTACGCCTACAGTGGATAAAAAACCTTTACGGATAGGGTTTGTAAATCATGAGGGGCAAGGGCAACATGTGAATGAGGGGCACCTCTTACCACGGGCTGCTTGGTTAGAAGAAGCAAGTCTTTGAATGCGTAGTACTGGTGCTTTTCAAACGCCTTGAAGAGGTCCTGTAGTACGTCTTCACGCTCGCGACGAAGATTTTTGCCCTCGCGCTTCTTGCGTACTCCGTACTCAATCTGCATACACAAATTCGCACAATCGAGTTCACTTGCTAACGTGTCAAAACATCAACCAGTAACGTCAAATGACCTGTCACACCAGAAGTTACAACTTAAAACGCATACCACATGAACAATAACGAGCTAGGAAGCGCAAATGTTATATCACCTATTTCAAGAATATAAGGTAGTAAGATAGGGCACTTACGTCAAATGCATGGTTTGCAACAGGCAGGTGGGTTTGCACCGGCTTGTCTAGGACACGCACCTCATGTCTAGCGCGATTTTTTGCCTTTAACTAAAAGGGGCGGAAGGGTGTGCAGAAAGAGGGCAGCGGGCTCCTAAATGTGGCAACCATTTGATAAAATCAGAGTGTATTAACGGTATACTGGGGCCACCAGAAAGGACTATTCAGATTATGAATATGAGTAACTTGCTCTGGAGTAAGTGATTTCGGCATGTTAGTGTGTAGGAGTATAGACGCGAGAAACGAGGATGCGCAGAAACCACTATAAGTAAACCAACCTGCAGCGCCTTAAGTTTCATATAGTTGGCGTTTCGAGGTGGCTGGCACTCGGCTCTGCTGTAGACTCGACCAAATAAGGAGTAGCGTTTGCCGAACCGTGTACGTTGTGCCGAAGGAGCAGAGGACGATGCGGACTCATTTGAGGATATAGGCGCTTGAGAATCTTCCTCGCAAAGAATCACAAGCTCTTGGCCCGCCATTGCGGAAGAAATTCGTGACGATCCAAGACGATTCCTAGTAGGAGGCGACTTCGACGATGGTGCTGATTGAACCAAAAACTTATGCTCCTTGGAGGATGCAAAAAAGTAAAAGCCTCCAAAAAGAGAATTAACAGTAGACTGAGCTCATCAAATAGGATTACAACCCACTGATACAAAGGACGATTCCAACAAAGACCCTGACAAACTAAAGATACTTACTCTAGGGATAAGGTCGCTATTTTCACCAGCATCTGCAATCAAGCTGTCGTCTGTAATGAGATAGACGTCCGCTTTCTGCTTTTGATCCTTACTTCCGAGCACGTTGTCTACAGTAGACATAACGACTTTTCCGACAGTGCGATCCGTATTCGCTTTTAGCCATAGATCAGCCAAATAATTGGGAACTTTGACAAGCCAGACACCATCTTTTGCTCTGCTAGTATCAACAGGGTGAAGAGCATGAGCCTCAATTAGGCCATCAGCTGAACCAGAAGCCGACGCCGACATCTCAGCGACAAAAACGACCAGTGAACTGCACGCGACTTTGCCACTAACTAAAACAACGATGCCAAACATTTAAAGTTGTCTAAAAAGTTTCTGCTTTTTGAGAGCGTTTACTTAGCAATGGATTTTAAAAATTAAAAAGCCATTAGAAGGCAAAAAAGATTTTGATAAGCCTAGTGCTACCAATATTTTTTGCCAACAAATTTTGCAACTGACTCAGCATTAGTGCAGGCAAGTTTTAGCTATTGCTCCAAAAGCGTCGTTTTTGTCACATAGACTTTTGTCTCCGATTTCAGATTTATGTGTCATGACCTTATATTTTGTTTAGATTAACGGAAGGGTGATCGCTGTGGCGAGGTCAGGCCCTTCTTCCCTAGCTGGAAGTGCTGCGGTGGATCGGTGCTTTTTCTCTCGAGCCTTATCAAGTACAATTCATTCATTTAACAATACTCGCTGTCTTGGCTGTGTCCACTGATCAATATACTTCTTACTGATTTCATTCTAGGAAAACACTACTACTTTAGGTTTCATGTCTGCATCTGGGCCACCTGCACAGGTAACAGGTATCTCCCCAATCGAAGGTGTTCCTGGTACAAAATTAACACTTCGAGGGGAGCATTTCGGCCAATCAGCTCTTGATCTCACACATGTTTTTGTTGGTGGTATTGATGTCTCACCCAGTGCACGGTGGTTCTCTTCTCGAAAACTGTCTGTTATCACACCACTTGGGACCGGGGAGTTGGAAATTGTTGTTGTTACCAGGTCTGGTGGGATCGGCACATCTGAACTCACATATACTCAGAATGTTGGTCAGAAAGTAGGTATGTGTCCTTTTCATGGTTGCTTCATTCGTCACTCACCCGGGGTAATGTGTTGTTTAAGCTTTGAGTGCATTGGACTCTTTAATTTACAATTTGTTGCTTGTTTAATTTGAACTACCGAAATCACTTTTATTCATTCCTGCAGATCATTGGTGTTGTCATATTTCCTCACGGCTACTGAGGTTGTTTATACGATTTGCGAAAATACTTTTAATCACCGTTTTTCCCACTTTTTGCTACATCTAATACTGTTGACATTGACAGGCCCACAGGAACAGGTTAGCTATTGGCCGGAGGACGAACGCCGGCGCTGTCCGGCTATAATCGAGCGGGGCAGCGGGACAAGGCAGGAGGGCGGGGGCGACGTGGTCGATGCATCTCTCGCAGCCACCGGTCTCCCCGCTGCTGAGCTCGCGCGTCTCGGAATCCCTCTCTCTGACACTGCTCTTATGAAAATCTACCCTTGTACGTACTATCTTTCCTTCCACTACCCCTCCGTCTCGTCGTTTCATTTTGGTAGTGGCGCTTTTAGCGTATATTGATGTGTGCCCCCCGTCAATATCTGGACTAAAGTTAATAACTTAATTTAATATTGGTCTTGTGAAAGTCTGTTTTTGTGAGTGTCACCTCTCGCCCTACCTTCAACGCCGTATTTCGATGGGCTTGTTTAATCTAAATCATTTGATAAGCTTGTTTCATCTTGTATTTCCATCTTTACGAATTCATTCACCTTCGTGTTTCCACGAACTTGCTTTCCCATATCTTCTCAATATTTACTACTATGTGTAGCTTTGTATTAACCACTGATGCTTAATCGTTCTTCGTTTGTATAAAGATCAATTTTAGTAAAAGGTGGAGAATACAGCCTTAGGGCCCTATATGTGAAATTCAGACTTTGTAAACGTGCTGTTGCATCTTTTGCCGGGCATAAAAGTGTCTCTTGGCGAAGTCGGAACGTGTCGGTGTGTTGAACCTTGTTTTTTGTACTTCCAAACCGCAAAGCTAGACTTTCTGTAAATTTGCAAACTTGATTTAGTTTACGAACTGATCTCTTCAATTGTGAGTTGAGTTTCTGTCATTGTACTTCGTTTTTTTATTATCATCTGCAACTTTTGTAAGAGCAGTAAAATCATTGGCTGGCAACGAAACTACTGACAGTATGAGACCAAAAACTTAATGGCTTGTGTGCTATTTGGGGTTATTTTTGTATGATAGAATCTCACAAAGTGATGGTGATGTGTACCGTTGTTCTTTATAGTTACTCGGTAATCGGTGCTACGCTTCCTTACAGGTTCTGGGAGTGTATTACTGTCTGAACCGGATTTTGATCCATTGCTCTTCCTCCTCAAATACTACAAAAATGCCAGGTTCGTTAAACACCCGCATCTCTATGGCCATCTATATTAGCACCAGTTATCAGTCGATAGCAGTAGATGATAATATCACTGGTAAGATTAGCTTATGTCCAAAGTAGACACAACCTACAATAAAAATCGTGAAGCAAAAGTGGTTCATCTCTTTGCTCTCTACATTCTCGTCACCGTGTCTTTTGAATTCACTATCAACCTCGGTGTTTATAAAAACTTCCTTAATCTGGAGTAACAAAGTCATGAGTGTGTGTGACCTAATTCATCATCGTTCTCAACACCATGGTTTCTTCGGCTTACTTACAATTACAGTTTTTATTA